CACACACACACACACACACACACACACACACACACACACACAGCAGATCTGAGAAAAACTCTAATGCTGCCCTCCAGTGTTGTAAAACCGATAAAACCTCTCACACAAGCAACATGTTCACAGTTAAATCTCCTGCTGTAATGTGGCTGAATATTTTCATCCTGAAATATCAGAGCACAAAGGACAAACACGTTATTAAAGAGACTATCCTGTGAATAAGAGCTCACAGGCCAGATACCTGAAATGTGTGTGTCTGTTTAAAGTGAGGATGAGAGAGATTACTTGTTCATTCACTGTACAGGAACAGATAAAAACATATTCCTGTTTTTCTAGCTGGTACGTAACACTTATAGCAAAACAAAAGCAACAACAAACCACGTGGATATTCTTTTCCTACAAATCAATTTCAGAACTATCTATCCATTTTCTTAGAGTTGACCAATAACGTGGAACCCAGGGGGCGAGCCAGTTCGTCCACACTGCTGGGAACACACACCTGAGATTCACCTGTGACCAATGCAAACGCACCTGTGGCCAGTATGAAGGACTCGGGGGTTCTTGCAGGGAGGGGGGGAGGGGAGTCGTCGCTGTCCCAGCAGTCTGGGATGAAAGGTCAGAGGTCAAATGAGAAGCAACATTAATGGCTGACCAAGGAGGACAGACAAGAGATCGGCAGTGAAATGACAAGAGACAGACTAAAGCTCATTGGTTCCTCCTGAGGACGTCAGGTTTACAAACACAAAACTGTGAAATTACAGAACACTGAGCTTGTTAAATCTGTTTGGTCACTCTGCAAGGCTGAAGTATGGACAGATATTTGACAACATTTCGTCATATTTATAATAATGCATTCTATTCATTTATTTTACACTGACTTCATCTGTTTTAGACATGCACCTTCACTGTTCATTATTCAAATTTGGTTATAGTAAGTACATTAAATGTCATTCATGAAGTAGTAAGTCAATAATAAAAAAAGGATGTTGTTTATTTTTCTTATATTTTACCATTTATTTGATTTACTGTTGTGATTTTTGTTCACTTTTTAACTCAATTGTCAATTCGTCTTTGTTATGTTTTTAAAATAAAATTAACTATGCTCCAGACAGTCGTGATTACATTTCCCTGCATTCACCTGACCTCATATCCTCTTCCTATTGAACTTTATTTCATATTCCCCATCTCTGTGAGCAATATTGCTTTTCTATGTTGTTTTTGATGAATACCCACAGGCCACTGCCATCACGTTCAGCTCCTGCAGCACGTTAAAAGAGTACGATAAGCGATGCAAGAGAAGGAAAAGGTTCTACCGATCTCCTCATTATCAAATAGTCTGGTTAAAATAAATAAAGAGAATTATATAATGAGGCAACTCCACCTCTGTTTACCATAAATATTATAAAGTTAAACTCCTCAGCCTTGATTAGTGTCACATCTTGTTAATAATGACGAGTGATTAATTATCAGTTACAGGTCATAAATTAACATTGATTATTAAAAGGCTAGTTACACTGATAACAAACAACAGTTTACACTATGTATGATCGTTGTTCTCATTAATTAGTTTATTAATTAGTTATGTTTTTTGTATTTGATTCCAATTGCTCCCTGTTGTCTTGTATTTGTCTTACATTGTTTTGTATTTATAGAGCTAATTTTATTTGAATTTTTAAAACAAATCTCCGATAAACAGAATATTAGGTAGAAAAAGATGCTTGGGGTAATTTTGAAATGTTGTTACACTGTTTGTCCAGCAGAAGGCGCTCTCACTGCATTGTTTCTCAACACATGAAGCAGAGTAAACGTCTCAGCTGAGAATAAGGAGGTTGTTCAGTTTGGGGCCCTGACGAGTTTGTGAAAGAAATTGATGAAAAGTAAATAAGTCCAGTATCTGTGGCGCTCTGTGCCCTGAGTCTGAAATCTACCCAACAGTATGAAACAAGCAACAAATGGATTCAGTGACAGTGCAGCCAGTAAAACAAGCAGCCATCAGCTTTTCCCTCGACCAACCATAAAGCAGCAATTAGCTCAGTGCAACTCATCAACAAGCATTGTCATTAGATTCTTGCAACCAATCAAACAGCAGCCATTAGATATTCATAACCGATTACAAAGCACCGCCGCAGCCCGGAACATATGATGAGCCAGAAAAGCCAAGCAGACCAAAGGACAGACCACTTCAGGACTGTGAGGCAAATAATCCTGCATTTGGTTTGAGATAGTGGGACGACCTGAGGAGAGCACAATGTAGGAAGTCAGACATTTTAATTAAAACAAGATTTGAATTTCCTTACTGAAACTGGTTACTTAGTTGAGAAAGTTTCTCAGTTTCTTTCCTTAAACAACTTTTAGGTTTGTCACTTGGCTGCTTGTGTTCCTTGGTGTAAATGAGTAATAATAATATTAACAACAAAATGTCCGTATAAGTTGTAAGAGTTTGATTTTCCCTAGTTTCTCTGATACATTTAAGGCTTTTCAAGCCTTAAAATTATACTAGCTTCTTTTAAGTTGCTTTCCGATATTCACAAAAGTCCAGACATTTTCTGGACCGTTTCCTGCCAGTCAAATATAATGACAGTGAGCTGGAATATTCACAGCGAGGGAGTAGGTGTGTTGACGAAATTGGAAGAATACAAATATCTTAAGATGAAAAAGATACAATACATGTAGAGAATGCAGACAAATATCAATAATTTAATCATATAATTTTTGTTGGGTTTAAAGACTCCCGAAAAGTGTTACACATTTTATTTTAATACTCTCATGTCGTTTACAAAATGTTGTAACTTAAAACTACTCCTCATAAAGCTATCATTAACCTGGTTGCTTTAAATTAGTTTAAACAAAAACCTCTGCATAATGTCAATAAAGTCAAAGACTGGTGTTTTCTTCTGATTCCAAGAGAGATTGTAGAATTTAATTTAATTTAAGCTTCCTGCCTCCTCATAGCTTCATCCCAATATCTAAAGAAAATGCAGTTTTTCATTCCAGAACCGTTCGAATGCAAAGTCCAGTTCAATCCACTCCACATCACAACAGCTCCAATCACACCAAGAATCCGATTTCAGAATCTCCTGATTTTGAAATCCGACACGGAGGAGAAAGGGGCATCGTTCTCTGCACCCAGAAGATCCAAACCTTATCACTGCGATTGTGACCGTGCAGCAATACAGAGTGTGACACTGCTCTGCTCAACCCAACGTGCACAGAAGTGTGTGTTTAAATATTTTGTCAGTATCATGCAGTGTTGATCCTTCACCATCCGACATGCACACACACAGTTCCCACTCACAACTGCACTGAAAAGAAAAACACACACAAAAAACACGATTTCTTTCAATTGTTCGCCTGTTTGCAAGTTCACCCACTTAGACACACAAGCTGAAAGAGAAGGAGAGTTGTTTTGACAGATGTTTGCCTGCTAACGTTCGCAGCATTCCTCACAAACCAACCAATTAGTTATCCAGTCATGCTTTAGATGAGACTCACTGGAAACTCTCACTCTGTTTTTCTCTCTCACTAGTTTGTTGTTTTCTTTTCTTTTCATTCCTTTCTTCCATGTCTCATGTTTAGTTTTTTTCTCCCCATCTCTGATTTGCTCTTAGCAGTAAGAACAGTATAACTCAGTGTGTGTTGACAGGAACTACTTGTCGTTAGCATGTGGTCTGTCTAAGACCTCTGTGTCCTTACTGACCCAGAAAATGACTCCACTGTGTGGTTTCCCTGAGCTTATGTGAGAGTGGATGATAAATACAAGGCTTTCAAGGCTCATTTATGCTCAACGTTTGATACGTTTGTGGAGACAGACAGAACCTTCTGTCCGTACTATGTCTTCATTTCGTCCGTTTTTTGCGCACATCTTCTGAATGCTTATGAATACAGACGAATGGAGCAGGAAGATCGGAAATCATGGGGGGGCAGTGTAGCTAATAATTCAAGCGAGTCGATCATAAGAAACAAAGATGAAATGTCAACAATGGCTCAAGTTGGTAAGTTGGACCACCGCTGTTTACAATGCCGCAGTGTTCATCTCTTTCTTAAGAGGTAAATAATATCAACCTCCTCCATCTTTAAAGTGTTGTTTTCAGAATCTCTTAGCTCGGTGCTGCTCTCTAGTGGATGTATTGCTTAACAACGATAAGGATGGAAACGTGCATGTGGGCAGTGACGGTTCCATTCTCGCACGTAAAGGCAGCATAAATGAGCCTTAAGAGTTTAAAGGAAAACTTGACTTAACTCCCTAGAAATAAGATGAGCTTAAATTCAGCGTTAAGCAAATTTAGCGTTGTTACCTCCGCCAAAGAGGTTGTTTTTGCCCTTGTTTGTCAGCAGGATTACACAAAAATTACTGAACAGATTTACACCATATTTAAAGAGATGAGTAAAGAAAGAACTCATTCAATAGGACCGATCCACATTTTTTTCCCGCCCCCTTTATTTCAAATTGCAAGATACGGTGTTCATTTTGACATTTTCACCAATTCCACAGAGAATAATTCATGGATCTTGGTGAAAAATATCTGCATATTAAGGGAACATATTTACCTATGTGTGTGTGAAATTTGGTGCGGTTTGATTTTAAGGGGAATGTTGGGCTTTGGCGGAGGCAAGAGTTATTTTTTCTAAGCTGTAGTTGATTAATCAGAGGTTTTCTGTCTAAACCTGAAAAAACAAGGGAACCCAAATGTCTGTTTATCTGTCTATCTGTCTATCTCCAGCGATAATATGTCGTTTTCTTTGTTAATCGATTCTGTCAGTAAAGCTGAAGTAATTAGATACACTCATTCAATTAGAGGCTGATTGACATACTTGCTGTGGTTGCAGGGGGTGAGGGGGAGCTGTGCCCTGCGATCGACATTGGCAGCACCTTCCTGACTGGCTGCTGGTCTCCGTGTTGAGGGGATGTAGTTACCGTGGCCGTCGCCATGGATACATTAGTGCGGTAGCCCTCCTTTCCTCCAGACATCTCTCCATCCCCCTCCTCGTCCGAGTTATCGGAGTGCAGGGGGTTGGTGAAACTCAGGGCAGTCCTAACGGGAGTGGAGGAGGAGGAAGAGGAGGATGAGGAGAGGTGGGACGAGGAGGAGGAAGAGGGGGCAACTCGGTCTGAGGAGGAGGAAGAGGAGGACGTCTTTGGGAACTGTTTCTCTGGGCTGCTGCAGGCCTGAGACCACGGAGCGTGGCTCGCCTTCACCTCGACCCGCTCCGCTCCCGTGACCTCCCCCTTCTCTCCGCTCTTCACAGGAAGGTGGTTTGGTCTGAGGAGGACGCCTCCATCAGCGTGACTCTCCCCACCAGCTCCTCCCTCCGTGCCCGAGTCCTCCGACAACGAGGAGCTCGACGTCAGCAGGGATGGGCCAGAGCGGGCTTTGAAGGCGTGACCTCTTTGCAGCATGCTCGAGTTGTTGGGTGGGCCACAGCCTGCAACTCCCATTGAGGAGGAAGTGTCAAAGCTGCGAGGTCCTTCCTGCAACGGCACCTTTTTAATCTCGATGCTGAGTTTCCTCTCGATTCGAGGAGCACCGGAACATTCAACAACAGGGGAGAGCGGCGAGGAGGGAGTCTGGCTTTGGCCCGAATCTGATTTTGTTGATGCTGAAGACAACTTGTTGTTGTAGTTGTCATTGAGATCCAGATTTGAGACCTGGGTCTGCTGTTTTTGACTTTTGAGATCTTGGTCTTTCTGCTCAGAGGGACTGGTCTGTTTGTTTGGACTGGGCTCGGACTGGTTCTGCTGCTGGTCCACGCCCTTGTTCTAAAAGGAAAGGAAATAGAAAAAAATATTGAAAATGTTTCATCTCTCCAAATTACAAATGAAAAGGTTACAACAGCAAAAAGCTACAGTCACATTACACTTCTGCTCTATAAATATCTCCAATGCACTAAAGCCTACATGATTCATTCAAGAAACTGTTGGAGGGAAGTCCAGTCAGATCTGGAGAACTTCCAGGTTAGAGTTCACTGAAGTTCAACACTGACTGTGCAAATGAGAATAAGAAATAAAGTTTAGAAATGGAGAAAAATATATTTTAGTGTTTTATTATGCTGTAAAGTACAACATTACATTACTGGTCAAACATACATTTACAAGTTGTTTTTAAAATAGATATTTGTTATAAGGCACTTAGTTTTCATACGAGTACATTAGAGTAAAAGACAGATGCACGTGTCAACCTCTTAACACTTAGTTCCTCTGGAGAAGGGCATCTGTGATATGTGAAACCTACAACAGGTTTTACAGGTTTAAATACTGTAAATACATATGCACACACATAGATGGAAAACATTCCATGCACCACATAAAACCCCCAGAGAAGCACAGACGTGTGGCTGTGCAGTAACACAATATATTTAATATACAGTATTTCTATTGTATTGACCAGCTCACCTGTGTGGTAGCCAGGACATGTATGAGAGGTTTGGGGTGGTAGCGGTCATTGTCCTGCCGTACATTGGTGACAGTGGGGAAGGCTGAGGGGGGAGAGGGGGTCAGGATGGGGGGTACGGGGTGAGGCTCCGGGGGCTGAAGAATCTCCTCCTTCACGTCACCTTCTGCCTGGGAACTAAACGGAGATAGAAGAAGACAAGAGGGGTCAGTTAAAGGTTATTACACATTCTGGCTTTTGATGCTTTCCAATAAGACATCTCAATTCCACAGAGCTCAAACTGCAGCAGGAGCAAGTTGTGTTATGTTGAGGTTCAAATCTAAACTTTTTTAAAGTCTTAAAAAATTTAACTATAGCACTTAAAAAATGATGGAAAAATAGAATTTCATCATCATCCTGGTCAAAAGGTCTTCCGAACATTTGAACAGTCACGTTTCAATGAATCTCCATCTAATAATGAGATGATGAAGCAAAGATGACGAAATTAAGTTAAATTCATCTCATACATGAATTAAACACATGAATTAAACTAAAAAGGCTGTTTCCGTTCATTCCGTGAAACCAAGTTTTCCACCACTAGATGGCAGGATTTTAAAAAGTGTAGCAACATGCTAATATTGTGTCAACATATTAGAGACTAATCACGTCCTCACAGCTCTCGCCCGTATTTAATGTTGACAAGATATGTTTATGTTAAGTGAACTGAAAACAGACTGTGAATCAGCACATCAGTGTTTATTCCTCGACATTTGTTGTATGTGTCAGGATCTGAAAACAATTTTCCAGATTCTATTGAATTAATTATTTTCTATGCAGCAGCCTACCTCTTATTGCAGCGATGCATATAGGGAGGTTATGTTTAAATTCCTTTTACACGTTTAG